AACCCGCCACCTTAGGTGTACGTGGCTGGCGCCTTAGCCGGTTGAGCCACAGGCGCCGAGCCAAGGTGTTTTTTCTTATTTAAAAGATTAAAATAGAATTATATGTTCAAAGAAAAAATAATAAAAATGCAGTGTAAAAGTAAAATGTATGACCACAGCCAAGAGACAGGAGGGGGAATGGAAGGATCTGCTAGAAGGGTCTTAATTTGAAGATAGATTATGATCATCCCTCATCATTCACTGCTACTAGACAATAGAGCACTCTGGCTAATAAGACAATATTAGAGAGATACAGAATAGTTTTTAAAATACTCTATCCATTTAAGAAAAAAGAACAGGGAAAATTGAATAATTCACGGGACAAATTGAAAACAAGTGCAAGAGGATTGATTCATTTCAACCATATCAATAGTTACATTAAAAGATGCAATACTGGTACGCCATCCCCTTCTAGCTCCAACCCGAATAATAAAGACAACTTACTTTAGAATATAAAAAGCCATCCTACCGAAGTGCAGTCTTGAATGTCTATTATTAATTACCTGCCAAGGAGGAGAATCTTTACAAAGCTTCGAATTCCTATGAGTGCAGGTTTTCTGACCTTACATATTGCTCACAGGTAATAAAAATTAACGTACCTTCCAGTGAATCATGAATCTTTTGACCCCACTTGGCAAAATAAAGGGAGCCACCTCCTGCCCAGGGAAAGCAGATCAGTTTAAAAACAGCTTCAGGATTTTGGTATAAGCAGTTCAAAACTTTGTCACTCCTAGGGAGAAAATTCAAATGTATTTAACATTACATATATCCGTTAAGGTCTCCATACTGAGTTAGGTGTATTTAATAGAAATCTTTATTAATTATAAACAACATATGTTCAAATGTAAAGTGATTGCTTTTTTTTTTTTTTTTAATAAGAATGGGCAACAAAGGTTTTTAGGGTCTGTGTTGACAATTTTTTTTTTTTTTTGAGACAGAGCCTCAAGCTATCGCCCCAGGTCGAGTGCTATGCTGTCACAGCTCACAGCAACCTCAAACTCCTGGGCCTAAGTGATTCTCTTGCCTCAGCCTCCCAAGTAGCTGGGACTATAGGTGCCTGCCACAACGCCTGGCTATTTTTTGGTTGTAGTTGTCATTGTAGTTTGGCAGACCTGGACTGGATTTGAACCCGCCAGCTCTGGTGTATGTGGCTGGCGCCTTAGCCGCTTGATCTACAGTCACCACTTGTGTTGACAATTTTAATGTGTGAACTTTTGGGGATGTAGGTGAGATAGTCAAATATCTATGCATTACATTTAATAAGTGCATTTCTGTGCACATTTTAAAATGACATAAATGTTAATTTAGAAATAGCCTTTTTCACAATTTGGGGAATAGTTCTATCCAAATGGTTTTTAGGCAGCTTCGATCTCAGTGTCTCTGTGAGCACCAGAGCTACTTTTCAAGTCATATAAAAGTTTTCCAGAGCATGTAATTTTCACTTCCTTCTGAGTATTGGATAAATGCTTAAATCTGCATATAGTGAGTCTTTTATCACAAAAACCCAAGTACCCAATCAGCCAGGAGTAGGAAAAATTCTTTTTAAAAATATCATCCTGGCTCAGCGCCTATAGCTCAACTGGCTAAGGCGCCAGCCACGTACACCTAAGGTGGTGGGTTCGAATCCCCAGCCCGGACCCGCCAAACAACAATGACGGCTGCAACCAAAAAATAGCCAGGCGTTGTGGCGGGCGCCTGTGGTCCCAGCTACTTGGGAGGCGGAGGCAGGAGACTCGCTTGAGCCCAGGAGTTGGAGGTTGCTGTGAGCTGTAATGCCACGGCACTCTACCCAGGGGGACAGCTTGAGGCTCTGTCTCAAAAAAAAAAAAAAAAAAATGTCATCCTATATGTTTCCGTTTGTGTTCTCCACAATTTAAGCCCTTTCTAGAAAGTATCTAAGTTTATCAATAAATTCCTTACAAATCCATATAAACTTCCCAAATGTGAGGTTGTAAGTCTTAGTATCATGATTAAATCTGTTTCGCCTCTCTCTCTCTCTTTGTTTTTTTTTTCTGAGACAGAGTCTCACTATGTTGCTTTCCAGAGAGTGCTGTGACATCACAGCTCACAGTAACCTCAAACTTTCGGGCTTAAGTGATTCTCTTGCCTCAGCCTCCCAAGTAGCTAGAACTACAGGTGCCCGCCGCAACGCCCAGTTACTTTTTTTGTTGCAGTTGCCATTTTTGTTTTTTAGCTGGCCCAGGCCGGGTTCAAACCCACCAGCCTGGTGTATGTGGCTAGTGCCCTAACCACTGAGCTACGGGCACCAAGCCAAAAAAAAAAAAAAAGGATATTTTTGTAATATAGTTTTAGGCACACTCAAAGGAATAAGAAGTGTCATCTATTACTGTTTATTTGACAGATGTTGAAAGTGAGACTCAGAGATATTAAATCACTCAGCCAGTTAGTGACCAACTAGGAATTAGAATGCAAATCCTGTTTGTCTTAAAAGCTAGTTTCCTGCTTAACCAGTTTCCTACACTCTTGGCATCAACATGCAAGTAGGCCACTAAGTGACTGGTGGAGAACGTATCTGAGATGTTTGGGTTTGGGGAGTCGGGATCAGAAACGCTTCTTCACTTTCTCATGTACATAGAGCCTTGCCTTCAACTTTCCTAATCCACACAAGTGCTTTAGCCAAGGCAGAGATTTACAACCTTGCTCTCAAAGCATCACCAAGTGAATATCATTGGACATAGTAAGCACTTGGTACCAGTGACAATATAGTAGTCCCCCCTTATCCATTGGGGCTATATTCCAAGACCCCAGTGGATGCCTGAAACTGCAGATTGTACCAAGCCCTATATGTACTCTGTCTTTCCTATCCATATATTACCTATGATAAAATTTAATTTATAAATTAGGCACAGTATGAGATCAACAACAACAATAATAAAATAGACAAATTATAATAGATTGCAATAAAACTTATGAGAATATGGTCTCTCTCTCTCTGTCTCTCAAAGTATCTTATTGTGCTGTACTCAACCTATTTTCAGACCGTGGATAAGTGAGGAGGAATATTGTACCTTGCACTAGCGCCAATGACCAGCAAATTAGGCTTCCCTGAGAAGCCTCTTCTGGTCTAAAAGAGCAATCTTAACAACAAGAGGGCATTGGAGCCCTTGGGACGGGGAGAGAGCCAGGTTGCTCAAGGCATAGCCTACCTGGTGCTCCCAGGCTGTTCTCTTCTCTCCATGCTGTGAAGGAGTGGTGTGAAATTGGTGGTCTCAGCAATCTGTTGGAAGTTCAGTAGCGCTAAATCCCTTATTGGGTGTAAAAATCTCCACTCAGCCTTATGCACGCAGACCAGTGACTAGATTTATTTTTGAAAGTGAGTCTGTTTCCTTCAAAAAACAAGGAAAGAGGAAAAGGAAGAAGAGGAATAGAAGAGAAGAAGAAAAGAAAACAACAAAGAAAAAAGAATGGGTTAGAAGAACACAGCTGATGTTATCTGAGATAAGGAGTCACCACTTACAGTTCACATTCAGCTACCAGTAAGTTCCTCCATTAACAGGACTTTCAGCTGATTACAGTAGCAAAGATGCAGTATTTCTGAACTCCAAAACAACCCTGTAGGTAAAGAAGAATACATGTAATACCTAGGAGAAAACTGGGTGGGGATATTTAAGAGCAAGGCTTTACCTTTCTAGATACTTATCAAGGTGTGTTCTTTTAAATCTTAAGAGTTAAGGATCCTAAGAACATCTTCGCAACTGTGCTATACTTCCAGTTTTGCAAGCTTCAAACATTCAGAAAAGAGAAGAAAAATATCCAAATTTCTGTCATTCATCAAGATTGTTATCTTCATACTTTTTTTTTTTTTTTTTTGAGACAGAGCCTCAAGCTATCCCCTCTGGCTAGAGTGCCATGGCATCACGCTCACAGCAACCTCCAACTCCTGGGCTCAAGCGAGTCTCCTGCCTCAGCCTCCCAAGTAGCTG